CTCGTTGGTTGCCGAGGAGCGGATCCAGCGAGAGCTGGATGGGGCAAAACGGAATGAAAAAGTGTTCCAAGAAGTAGCTCAGCTCTTAGCCGCACACGGCTATCACCGGACCTACAAACAGTGTAGGGACAAAATAACGATCAGTCCCACCCACTTTGAAGAGGTGCTAACTGCGGTGGAAAAGCAACCGAGCTAAAGCGAACCGAACCGTGCCGTACCGAGTCGAGTCGTACCACGCAGTGGAAAAGCGAAGCGAGCCGAACCGTTCCGCGCCGAGTCGAACCGTACCGAGCCGAACCGAGCCGTACCAGCAGTGGAAAAGCGCCATATGTAAATCAATGGTTTCTACAAGTGGAAACCGAGGATAGCGCGGATATTACATTATTGATAGGCGACAATGACAAGGGACGAGCTATTATTTAAAACTGGAATTTCTCTGGATTTACAAATCCTTGGGAACTTTTGGGATAATGTAAGTACACAACTGCATGAAATATATCACACAGTGAAAGTGGTTTTTGAATATTTTATTACAAAAATCTTACATATTGTACCTTTAAGCAACCACATAGCAACATGTTAAAAACACCTAGAACACGTTAGAACACCTTCACATTGTGTTGGCAAGTTTTGGGCAGGAGGCACTCCTCACATTTTCATAGAAAATGTAAAAACTAGTTTATATATATATATATATATATATATATGGTGTTTGGTAAACTATTAATGCCCTCGTATCGACCCGGCTGCTGGCGGTATCGTTTCTCTCGCAAAACCATTCAACCGCAATTTCACTTGCGGTTGACCTTAAGAGATGATCTAAATCATAGGTTCTCAAACTGCGGCCCGCGGGCCAATGGCGGCCCGCCGAAACATTTCTGGCGGCCCGCGATAACATCTGTAAAACTGTTAAAACTATTGCTTTGAAAAATATGAATATCTCCGTTTAGTGGTGTTTAGCGGCATCCATAGGCATAAGCGGTAATTACATGGTCCGACCGACCGATCGCACTTGACCTCACTCCCAAGGCCACCAGGAACAGTGGTTGTCTACACAGGAATAGGAATCGTGGCCAACCGAAACCAGCACCACAAATCCCATTGCAATTTAAAAGGGTATGTTGACCAAGTAATCAATATTCAATGTGACTTAATAATAATCTTAACAATGTCAAGCTTATTAATAGCCGCGTTTCCATTACCTTTCAAAATGTTCGCGGGCGCGAACACTTGCATTTTCCTATCAACAGTGCAAACAACTTAAACTAGTCTATCATTTCTGGTCATTCATAAAATAATAATGCATTATTCGCAACTACTTTTATTTGTGTAAACTCATAACAAGAAAACGTGCTTTTGTAAAATAAAATAAAACAATCAGTAGCCTAGGCTACTACGCGCTTTCATGATCTCCGTGAACTGGAGCGCGAGAACTGAAACAAAATATAGCCTATGTAGGCTAAAGCTTAAAATGTGCACTTTTAAACAAACAAACTCGAATCGAAAGCAAATACCTGATTATGTAATCCGTATGAAAGGTGGATTCATCTGCTTAACAGCGGAGATGGAGATGTTTTTAGCCGACACTTAGAAAACAATAGTTTATTAATAAACAATTAAAATGCCTCGCTGTTTTTTCAGACGCATTTATTATCATTAGCCTATAACTCACCTATAAATCAGGCTAGATCAGACACGTACAGGCTATATGGCTCTTCTCATTCATCACTGCGGGAAAAATATAAATTCCAGGTTCTAATTTGGCCTTAGAAAACCAGTAAAATCGACATATTTTCCATATTAATTAGTGAATATTTAAAATGTTTAATAAAGGGGCAGAAAGTCATTTAAAAAAAAATCTGAAAAAGTCTGTCGATATTTACTTTTTTTTGCGCAGCAGTTGGTGAAGCCAGTTCAAATTAAAATTTTGTTCAACTTTGCGTTTTAAAAAGACAACAACCGTTCATTTTTCGTTTTTCAGTTACGGGTTAAAAAAGATAGATAATAATATGCAAATCTGCAATAATGGAAACGCGACTGACAAGCAATGATAGAAATGAATGATGATGATGACTTGTTTGGTAAGCTTCTATTTTAAAAGTTTCTTTCTCTCCCCCCCAAAATTTTCACAAGTTTTGTCAGGTTTAGCCTCAGTTATGAATTAAAATGTGTTTATTGCAACTAATGTAAACTGTAGAGATGCAACCTGGTCATTAAAATAATTTCAAATGGGATTTTCTTTTCAGTTTTTTTTTCTTCGTTTTCTCCCCCGCCACTTTGGCGGCCCTCAGTTCAATGTTGGGTTCCTAAATTGGCCCTCACCTATCAAAACTTTGAGAACCCCTGATCTAAATAAAGAGGAAAATGCAGTTATATGTTTCTCGAAGAGACACACTGAATGTTTGGTCAGCTGTTCGAGGCCCTGTGGCGTTTCAATTGGCGTCAGGGTCAATGCAACTTCTGTCTCCCCTTCCCAGAGTGCTTTGCTCCAGTCTGCGGAGTCGCAGCTGCACCCTCTTGGAGCACTACAGAGGGCTCAGTTCGTATCCAGTTCATCATCTTGGAGCGCTATTAGATGTAGTACGTTCCCCGTGGTGTGAAAAGCTTTTTAAAGCCCTGCATGTTTCTGTAAAACTTCGTTCTGTAGTGCTGAATCCTTTCTGCTCTCTTCACCTCCACCCACACTTTACCTTCTATATCTGCCATTAGAGCAACAGGTAGGCTGATGGGCTTTTCAGCATTGAAGCTGTGGGCTTTTAAGCCTCCTCTCTTGCAAGAAATGTGCAGGCAACATCGCCGTCCACGCAGTGCACACCCGGCTACATTACAGCAAAACGTGTGCGGGGGCAGCCGTGACCGGTGTGAGGTGTGACTTGTGACTGGTCCATGTGACCCTTAAGATGAGAACTCTCCATTTAAATCTTATCTTTGCATTGTGCTCTGGGGTTATGGATACGATAGAGAGTTTGCTTTGGTCTTCGAAGAGAAAAAAACAACTATGATCAGGGAGGGAGTCAGCCTGTCTCAATTACAAAATCCTACCAGTGTACTGATATTGAATCAAAATTGCGTACATTATTAACACTTTTGTTCAGAGAATATATATTAAATGAAATCTTAATTTTATTACACGAATGGTTTTATTCTTGCAAAAATGTAATGCTAGCCTGGTTAAAACCAGACCATTCTCAGTTGTAACTGAGTTATGGTCTGGCAAAGCGTCATAGACAAATCATTTCCAGAGGGGCGTCACCAACGGACGTCGCGGATAGACCTAAACCCAATCAGAGCGATGAAGGAGATGACGTATGCAGAGCGGCGGAGAAACATCTCCGAGTGTTGTTTGCTCAGTTTTTAACTAAAAGGAAACTTTCAAATCGCTTAAAACAGACGCGATAGCTGATTCGAACGAGTGATGTTCGACGGCGGCATCCATCTTTGTAATGTTGGCTACAAAATCTGCTTCAAAATCCCAGCGCTGTCGTCATCGTGTAAAGCCCGCCCCAACGTTTCTGATTGGTGCCTCGATTTCGGCGGATTGGAAATGAGCTTGAATGAGCTCTTTGCCAGACTAACTTTCAGAGTGTTTTCCCAGGCTAATAAAATGCAGCATTATGTTTAAAACGAGAAATATATATATAAACACACAAACACACACACACAGATACAAAAGCTGTCAAATAAAAACTCTTCTTTTGAACATTCTGTGCACTTTCTATTAACTTTTATTTTGAACTTTCAAAGCAGCAAAACTGTTTTCAACATTGATAATAATAAAAAAATGTTTTTTGAATGATCACCTGACTGCAATGATTGATCATGTGCTAAAAATAAAGCTTGCCATCACAGAAATAAATCACATTTTATGTATTGCAGTTTTTACTTTATTTTTGATCAAATAAATGCAGCCTTGATGAGAGTAAGAGACTTCTTTCAAAAACATTTCAAACATCTTACCGACTCCAGACTTTTGAAATATATGCAGTATGTGAATATAATAATTTTGCACTAATGCATCCACTTCTTCTTGAGACTCTAAGGCTTAACACTAGCTTCCGAAGTTCATTGAATTCTTATTATTTTTCCCCCAGCCACCTCCTCTGTTTCTCACGATCTCCGGGACAGAGTTATATGTCCCTTTGAATTCCACATTCTTTGAAAATTACATTAACTGTAACCAACGCACAATCCTTATAATAAACTTCAGATATTCTCCATAATGCATGGACGTTAAATGGACATAAGTGCTAATTTATATGCCTCTCTGCTAGAAAAGAGTCAATGTAAGATCCATCATGTCTATTTAATAAGTCAAGTTCTTCTTTCAGTGGGCAATTATCTGTACCCTTTTCATAAGTTATTCCTGGTGTTTGAAATAAGTTAATAGTGCTCATAATGAGTAAAATGGGTTTTCGAGTCTTACTCTAATAGGTCTGCAATATGAAAGTCACTCATAATTGTGAACTACCACTGTGCTCATCTATAGATCCTCACCATGTAATTTTCACATTTTTTTTCATGTCACTTTTTCATTAAGAGTGCTATCATATCCCACAGCTTCATAATTACAATGACCCGGTTACCTTTCCTTTGTCTGATGACTATTGACTGATGCCGTGCTGACAAGTATCCGATGTTGTTCTGGTTTTCATTAATGCCAAAACACCTTTCGATACCTGTATTATGTAACAGCTTGTTTTACTAGTTCTAGTCTTCCAGTACCTACAGAAACTTGTTTGCACATGTCTTGTTTTTAAGTCTCTTTAATCAAATCCTAATAAAGTATGTATTTAACAAATGTGTAAGTTAAAAGAAGCTGAGCTGTGCTTTGTCATGCTGTGGGAAGTCATGGGGGAAGGAAGGGGGGATGAGACTGTACAGGCATTTCTCTTCAAGTGCAATGAGTTTGCAATGTTAGGGGGGAAGAGCCCCTGAGCAATGTAGCGTCCTACTGTACGTGCACTCTCAATGCCATTCTAAGTGGAACCCCACTGTTGCAGGAAGCAAAATCTGCAATGGAGGAGAGCCGATCCCTGCGGACCCGGATCCATCTGGCAGATGCAGCTCAGAAACAGGCCCGAGGAATGGAGATGGACTACGAGGAGGTTATCCACCTCCTGGAGGCTGAGATTGCTGAAATGAAGTCTCAGAAATCTGAGCAACCCGGTCAGGGCAAGGTATTCCACTTAGCCTTACTTTCTCCTTCACAATCCACATCCCCTGCAGAGTCCCACTCCGGGTTTTTCCTCTCTCGTGTACTACAAAAAGTAGGTCACTGTTTGCTTTGTAGGGCTGATGTGCTGCGAAGGCTTTAACATGATCTTGCAGAGTGACGTGGGCTGATGAGGCTATTTTTGAAATCTCTGGCTAGCAACCTTGCATGTCGCCAGGATAAACTTTTATTTGATCACTGCATTTATGCTTTTATTGGATTCATAACATGAATGATTATGTAGGATAACATTTTTGTTTTCTTAGTTTTAGTTGCAATTGCTTTGCGGAAAAATTGTTATTGCACTCTGTGTTATTCTTATTTTAGCACACCCTCCTTCAGGAATTACACTAAAATATAAGTACTGTATAAAACACTGGACTGACAACGTAGTTTACCTTGTCCAGTGGCACATCTCCCGTTTTAATTGCAAATTTATATTAGACAATTTCTGAAACCATGCCATTTTAATGTATAGAAAAGAAGTACATTTTGCTGTTAAATATGACAACTCTAATATTCACTCAGGATGATCTACAAAATATGAAAAAAAGGATTTCTGTACTTGAATGCCAGCTACGGAAAAGTGAAACTGTAAAGAAGGATTTTGAAACCTCTACGGGTAAACTTCTGCAGTTTGTGGAGGTGATGTATATTCATTTTCAATTACGTTTAACCAACTCCACAATGAATTCACATCCTCTTTTCCTAACATAAGGTTTTACCATACAAATTGCTCATGTTGAATGGCTCAGGATGTTAAATTAAATATATTAGGATTTGCACTTCATATGTTGATTTGTCAAAGAGCAGCCTCACTCTTGTCCAAATGTAGTTTTCTCTTTAAACCAGAAAAGCGTAGCCAAAAATGAGTGTCTGGAATGCTCTTCTGATGACAACCATCAACGCAGGCATATATGAAGTGGGCGAATCTAGTCACACAGGCAGAGTGCATCTACTTCATCATTTCAACTGTTCTTACAAACAACTCTTTTTTTTTTACTAATAATTCACATTGTTAGCAGAGAATCTGCAGTAACCCTTTTATTAGGTGCCTGTGGAAAAAAAGAAAAATGTCAGAACATACTGTAAAAAGAACATGACATCAGTGTGCAGCACCAGATTCCCATAAATCAATTAGCACTCTGTTGGACTGTGTAAATCGTACATTTGTCACTGGAAAAAATATCACAGAACTTTTTTTAATTAGCTTGTGCTTTACATCTGTCCACTGTGTAAGATTATAATGGTATATATTCCAGAACATACATAATGCATAACCACCTCAGTCAGCCGCACTGAATTTATGTTGTCATAAAACAAACAACATAATGACATTTGAAGAAGACAGTAATATGTCATTATGGTTTGAATGTAGCATTGCACTCTTTATGGTTAATGGCACTTCAGTAACTTGTAAAGATCTGTTTACTGTACAGTGGACACCATGCATCAGATATGATTTTGATTGCAATTTTACTATTATGTGAATGTGCTTGTATACCTACAGTATATACTGCAGATGTCACCTGTTAAACACTGTTTGATAACAATAAGTATTATTGTTGTAACGTATTAGGTCCAAGGAAGACGAAGATAGATAATAATCAAAGTTCAGTTTATTCAGCAAAGTAAATAGGATAATCCGACACACGAACAATACCGGGTAATCAATGAGAACTCAAGAGGAACTTAAATGCACAGGCTAATAATGAACCGAATGCAAACAGGTGTGATGGTAATGAATACTACCATGGTAACAGATTAGTGATGGGAAATAGAACTATAGAAAGGGAAACATGACTGAAGTCAAGTGAAATAAACTAAAACTCCATGAAAACCGACAATTATTACAATAAATAACCAGTATTAATATTAATAATTAAATTTTTTTAACTTTGTGCTAGTAGTAATAATATATATAGTAGGGCTGTCAAACGATTAATCGCGATTAATCGCATCCAAAATAAAAGTTTGTGTTTACATAATATGTGTGTGTACAGGTATAATTATTTTTAATACATAAATACCCACACATGCATGTGTATTTAAGAAAAATGTGCATGTATATACTGTATATAGACTGAATGTAGCCTATATATAATGTATATTTTATATAAATATAAACATTTTATATATAAATAACATATTTTTCTTAAATATATACGTGTGTGTATTTATATACAAAATAATTATACACAGTACACACACATATATTATGTAAACACAAACTTTTATTTTGGATGCGATTAATCGTTTGACAGCCCTAATATATAGTAATAATATTATAAACTATAGTAATAATAATAATCATAAGTGATTTTATATTATTATTAAAAATACAAATTGCACTGTTAAATCTTTATGCATTATTAAATCATTCAACTATGGACTAATCTAATCACCTGCATTTTAAAACCCCACAGGCTGTCCAAGGCTTCCTATCTGAAAACCAAAGCGGTCCAAGAGGCTTTAGGTAAGATCATTATTCTTGTGCTCACGTCAGTCTTTTGTTAGGGCAGACCTAATGATTCTAATGACAGCAATACTACACTTGGCTAGCAACAGGTGTGTAGAAAAGAGTGATTTAATAACAAAGACACTTTTCCTTTGGGGACCTTTACACAGTCATTAAAGTTTGCCTTTGATATTCTAGGAGGCCATGTATTCACGAGTGTGTAAATGGTAACTTGTGGAGTCTTGTGCCTTCTTTTTCTATTATAAGAGAGAGTTTGGTGGCACAGACAGACAGGGATAGTTAATGACTAGAGGTCAGTACAACACCTTCCTGTGGCAGTGATGTTGATTTGGTCCAATCAACATGGCCCCCTGCATTTTCTGCCCTTTTCCCCCCCTAATGATCATCCCCACCAACCGAAGAGGCTGCTGTGCCTTCGTCTATTAGGGCTAGAAAATATCCTCATAAATCAAACTGAAGGCTGTCAGCAATTTGCAGCCCTGAGTGTGTATAGGGTTTTTCTTTTTGAGAGGGGGTGCATGGTGTTAAATCAGTTGAGCTTATACTCTAACTTGAATGCATCAAGCGAATGAGGGATAATTATTTACATGCTAAATATGTATACATTTGCATGTGTTTTCTCAGGCCCATTTCACACTAGATGCGTAAGCATTTTTTTGGCGCCCATGTTAACAGATTAGAGCATTCACACAATCGTTTCAGCGCGGAGTCTGTTTTTGCTGTGCTGCTCACGCTGAATTAAAGCCACAGTGCATTGTTCTTGGTCAAAATACACCTGAGTTAACATGAAAAATAACACATTTCACCATAAAATCATATAAGCGAGGTGTTCCGTGTTTCAGTCACCATATTACTTCCAGCACTGTGAAAAAAAAAAACACAAACACATTATTGCCCTGACCTCAAAAGGTTTTTTGTTTTTGCCCTAACCTCAAAAGCCTGCAAATGATTAAAACTAGAGGTATATCTTAACTTTATCATAAAAACTACATATACAGTATACAGCATGAAAAAAAAAATCATGGTTCCTACAAAAATATTAAGCAGAACAACTGTTTTCAACATTTAGAATAATAATAGGAAATGTTTCTTGAGCACCAAATCTGCGTATTAGAATGATGAAGGATCATGTGACACTGAAGACTCGGGTAATGGCTGCTGAAAATTCAGCTTTGCCATCACAGGAATAAATAACTTTTTAAAATACATTAAAATAGAAAACAGTTTCACAATATTATGGTTATTACTTTAATTTTGATTTTATAAATGCAGCCTTGGTGAGCATAGGAAACTTCTTCTTCTTTCAAAAACATTTTAAAAAATCTTTACGACCCAAAGAATTTGAATGGTAGTGTAAATAAAATAATTCTGTCATTGAAAATCAGGATTATTGGGCTAAATTAACAAACAGCCGATACATTACAATATTTCTAACAAAATATATAGCATAATGCTCTGAAAATGGCATTCTACATTAATTAATCACACAATAATATTATAATTAATAATTTTCTGTTTCTTGTAATATATTCCAATCAGTTGCTATGTTTTTCAAGTAATTCATTAAGTTTCAAATCAGACTGTGCAGAAAATCTTAAATATGTTTCAAACACATGCAAATAATTAAATCAGTCTAGTCCAATTCATTGCAGATTTGACCTGGAATCATGGTAGTTTCATAATATGTTTTCATAACACTGGTCCATCCATGTCAGTGGGTCTGAATCCCCTTCCCCAAAAATCCACCCTTTATTAGAGTCATGCTGGGCTCTTCTTTTATGCCAGTCTGCCCAGCATGCTGTTCATTTCAGGTCGAAGGGAGTGCACTTTTCTACAGCTTTTATAATAAGTCAGCTGAAAATCAAACAAGACTGACACAGTTTTCAACCTGAGAGAGTTTCGGGAGAACAGTACACCATACAATAAAAGAAAAAAGTATTTATATTTTTATTAAAAATTAAGCTACACTTTATTTCAAAGGTCCCCTTTAGACATTCTGTTGACTATAACATTGCACCTACATGTCAACTAACTCTCATTAGAGTATTAGATGAGTATTAGTAAACTGGGAGGGTTAGTAGATTAAGTTGACATGTACTTGCAAAGTTACTTATAGTCAGTAGAATGTCTGTTGGAGGACCATCAAAATAAAGTGTTAGTAGATATTAAGCAGTCTAATAATAGTCTAATGAGAGTTAGTTGACATCTAGGTGCAATGTTACTTATAGTCAACAGAATGTCTAAAGGGGACCATCAAAATAAAGTGTTATCTACCAAAAGTTCAAATGTCTGAAATTGCTTACAACATCTTTAATAAACCATTGTGCTCTTTGTCTTTCAGTTCTCCCAGCGATCCGAAGTTGGCCACACAGTCTCAGACCTTGGCATCTCGAGGTGGGAAGAAACCACCCTGGACTGCATCTGCTCTTGCTGTGGAAGCTAAAGAACTAACTCATACTGTCAGAAGCCTTCTAGAGCTGGACTGTAAGTATACAGGTATGCTTTCTGCTTTAACATGAAAAACAAACATCACACCATCTACCTGTCATGTAAAAAAAATGTATCTTATGGCACCAGCAATTTGAGCTGAACTGTGCTGGATGAGTTGTTATCAATCCTTATTAAAAGGTGGATGAATAATATTATCTGTTAACAAAACTATTACAACAAGAAACAGACGCTGGCAACAGCTTTGGGTTATGATCTCATTTTTAAAATGACTTTTTGACTTTGGTTTACCCTAAAAGCCACACTCAGTCTGCCTATTTAGCCATCGCATGAACCCCTGATCCCATTCAGCTTTGTAATTCTCAGGAAAATATGTAGCTTTCCTTCCAGCAATGTTTGACCTTGCGCAAATGCATCTAATGACCTGTAGATGTCAAAACATTGGCAGTCTTTCCATAGTTCCATCTCATTTTGAGTTTATTAAACCAGACGTCATTATGATCAAGATACTGCTTATTGTTCACATTTATTGAACCTATTAAACATTTGTTATGGAACTTATTTCTCCTTTTACAGCAGACAGCCTAGTGATCTACATTTAATTGTCTGCTAATAATATTATATAACCATCTTGATCAGGAAATCTAAGCCATTTAGATGTGTATATAGTGAACAAATAGGTCAATCCCATAAGAAAAAGGTGTATTTGCTGCTAATACAAACCTTGTAGATCTGGTTCACCTGCTGAAAACGTTGCCTGGATACGAAGCTGCTGGAAAGCAATCATCTTTTGTTTTTTGCCGCAATTATATATAATTTCAAAGGCTACACTAAGATATACACATTTAGAAAGTGTCATTGGTGGGATAACATCTAAACTAAAATGCATTTTTTTACACAAAAATGATTGTTCATGTCATCTTGATTTGACTCTGACAGTGTTTACCAAAAGAAAGAATTCAATCTTGTTGGCCTAGTTAAATTGATCCAGCTTGTCAAAACATTACTGATAGCAGTCCATCCAAAGCGCAGTTCCTGAAAAAAAACAACAACAATAAGAAGCTGCCTTTATTTTCTAAAGGTTTTTTCCTAATTAACACTGGATGTCCAATTCAGCCTCATAAAACTGAGTCATGAAGTAGAATGTCAGATATTAAAAAATGATCTTATAGTGAGAATTAATAATAATATAGTCGGATAGTAATATTAACTGAAGTATCCTGTTCTTTGTATCTCAAGAAAGCATGTTGATTGTATTCCTGCTTACAGAGCGGCATGATTTTCTTGCATGTTAAAGGAAACAGACAGTTCACGGACTCGCTGCAACTCAGACAAAACAGCATCTCTGGCCTCCTCTTATTCACTGAATACATGGTCTAAACAATGAGGTTAATCAATGATGGCCTTGTTTTTTATCCATTTTCTCTTTTTGCCAAACCGCTTTTGAATGAACATGCTCTGCAGAGAATATTTTTGTGAATTTGAATAGTGAAGTTGATTAAATTATACACCTAAGAGTTCCTTCAGGATTGAAAGCTCCAAATGTAATCATAAAAAAAAAAAAAAAAAAATCATTGGTCAACTATCAGTCTGAATTTGAAGGTGTTTACACGACAACGATGTACTAAAAACAGACGACAACGTTGTCTAACCGATCCCCGTTCAAACTGATCTGCGAAAATTCCTAAAAAGGCTGGATTGTGCATGCCCGGCCAGTAGTTGGCAGTGTTGGGCAAGTTACTTTAAAAAGTAATTAGTTACAGTTACTAGTTACTTCTTCCAAAAAGTAACTAAATTAGTAACTCAGTTACAAATTTTAAAAGTAACTAGTTACTTAAGAAAGTAACTATTGCGTTACTTTCAAGTAAAATTAAAATTTAAATGCTCAAATGTGACCCCACCTCTACCCCTCTTTAACGGAACTTACAATACATGTGCATGTTCAATTATTTATGATAAATCTGAATATTATAATGAAATGGACACTTAATACAATACATTATTAACAGAAACATGAAACATTGTACACACATCAAAAAAAAAAAATTTTTTGCTGTGGGACAAAGTGAGACTAGCCTCCAATCAAATGCCATGTAGATATTATGTTTATATAGTGGATCCATGCAAATAACAATAGATGTTTTGGAACTTTTGATATTGCCCCTCAACAGGCCACAACTGGGCAAAATTAAATTAAGCTTGTTAAGCTCGTGCTTGTGTTGTTCATTGTGTGTCCTGTCCTGTCCGACTATGCGTTATGATGGGTCGTTCGCAATTCATGAGCGTTAGCCGTTAGTGATGATGGATCGACTCGTTCGCGAATGAGCTTTTAATGGGTTGTTTGCGATTCGCGAATGAGGCGACTCTAAGAGCCGGCTCTTTTAAGTGAACGTCGGGAGCTGGCTCGCATATCTGAAGAGCCGACTCTATTTTTACAAATTTAGCCTATAGAAATTAAATAATTATGTAATAAAAATTTAAATATTATAGTCAAAGTCATTTGAAGAGCCGTTTGTGAGCCAAAAGAGCCGACTCTTTTCAGTGAGCTGAGTCAAAAGTGCCGAATGCCCATCACTACTAAGCGTGCTTTCGAACACCCGCCCAACTCTACCTCTGATTGGCTTACAATGACATTTTACTCTACCTCAGTCGTCAGCATTTATGCGCTTGTCTCGTGCTCTGCCCACTTACCAAGGAAGAACAGTAAAAAAAAGTATTTGCCTCTCGCTCAGAGATCTAGTTGGTCTGATGAAAAAAAAAACCCCAGCTTCATCAGTTATAGTAACGCGCCGCATTTTTTGGCAGTAACGGGAACGGTGTTATTAAGATGAGAAGAGTAATCAATTAGATTACTCGTTACTGGAAAAAGTAATGCCGTTAGTAACGGCGTTATTTATAACGCCGTTATTCCCATCACTGGTAGTTGGCGATGTCGCTTTGTCAAGAAACACCCCGCGAACACGTAATATGCATGCGCATGACGTCACCGTTTTCACAAATTCACGTTTTTGTTTTTTTACATGGATACGGTAAAGGCATAGTTTTCAAAACCTTGCACTTTGAAACCCATTTTCAAAAGCTTGCGTTTTCAGGCCCGCAAAACGCAGTTGTCGTGAAAATGAACGGCCAAAACGCATTAAAAAAATTCTGTTTTCAGTTGACTGTGCTCCCTTAGTGCAGGACACATCCAGTGATAGTTTACCCAAAAATGAAAATTCTGTCACCATTTACTCACCCTCATTTTGTCCCAAACTTGTATGACTTGATTTCTTCTGCGGACCTCAAAGGAAAATATTTTGAAGAATGATTTTTTTTTTTTTTTTTTTTTTTACACAATGAAAGTAAAAGGGGTCCAAAACAACATTTTCTTTCATTGTATTAACAAAAAAAAAAGGAGAGACAGAGACAATTTCAGAATATCTTCTTTTGTGTTCCACAGAAGAAAGTCATCCAGATTTGGAATGACACAAGGTTGAATAAATGATGACAGAATTTTCCTTTATTTTCATGTGAACTATCCCTTTAAAATCAGCATGAAACGGAAGATTTGATAGTCTTTTGTTCCCTATTGTGACGTATATCTGAGTGAAACTGCATCTCGAACAAGTAAAAATGTAAGACTGAATTTGAATTTGGGAATCAGGTTTATTAATTGTATCATTGTGGTTTGCTATTGCTGTGATCTCATGTGAGTGACAGGTGGTCCCACCCTCGCATCATCAGAGAAGTTGAACACAAACAAAACGTGAAAAAAGATGTTATTTTGATTAAAAATGTGTGGGCACATATTTTATAAAATAATAATAATGATGTGCACGGATAAATCATTTATAACAAATACTGAAGTATTCCATAAAATAACAAGAATTATCGATTTTGATTTTAAAGTCTGTCTATAAAATATGATTTGACCAATGGGACGATTTAACAACTGTTTGTTTCTACTATTTCTTGGTAACTTAAATTTCCAAGGTACCAAATGATGCACAAAAAAACGGAGAGAGATGGACAGATGGATGGATTAAGGGAAGATAGAAGACTCCTGGGTTCAAAGGATCAGCTGAGGGAGGGAAGAAAGATCTAAAGTGATTACTTAGGGGACTGAAAACATGTTCCACACACCTGGCAGCATGTGACCTCTCAGCGAGTGATGCTCACGTTTTGTTTGAATGCTGCCCTACGGGGGGAGGACGAGGCAGGCTTTGAGTTGCACATGGAGGGCCACTCTTATCACACTGATCGAAAGCAAAGAGAGCAACCTCATCCCAGCACAGAGACGAGCAGTGGTTTCCACGTGATGGATATTCTTTCAGCCTTGTGACAGGCTGCGTACAAACTCTGTATCTCATCAATAAGACAGAGGGGGAGACATGCTTTGGAATAAGGATTTATGATTGAAAAATGGGCTAAAATAAGGTTGCACACACCTTATTTAATAATTTAAAGGGTTAGTTCACCCAAAAAATGGAAATTGTCATCATTTACTCGTTTGTTTCAAAGCTGTATTATTCGATTTCTTCTGCAGAAGGCATTTTGAAGAACGTTAGAGAAAACGCAGATATTTTTCAACATATCTTATTTTGTGTTCAACAGAACAAAGAAAGTCGTACAGGTTTGGAATGACGTGAAGATGGTGTAAATGATGACAGAATTTTCATACTGTCCCTTTAAGAGAGAATCAATTTTGGGAAAGCTTCTGCTGCTCATCCCAATCATATCTGATTTACTGAGGCGTAATTTGAGGCAGATGAAATTGCCTTTTCAGTATCATAGTGTTGATCTAGTGAAATCATTCACTCTTGGTTACTAGATCAAGGCCTTTAGATAACAAAGAGTTGATTGAATTAAAGAGGCATGTGATGAGCTATACTCTGTTACTGTGTCCCTAGGGTTTGTGATCACTGTGGATGCGTCAGAACACTCAATACAAAAAAACTCAATCTCAGTAAGCTGTAGAATTTAAAGACTCAATTGCGTTGACGACCACTAGAAATACAGACGAATGCAAGTTTTAGAACACATAATTCTGTTTAAATTCTGGGAAATGACCATTGAAATGTCACTTTTTTTCTCAAGGCTGATAAAGACAACAGCCAAAAATTAGGTAAGATAAACCAAGGTTTAGGTGCGTTTCATAAAGCCCAGTTTCACTTATGGTTTGTAAAGGTTATGCAAATGTTTTTGGAACGTTCTTATAACATTATATACATTCTCTAAATGTTGAGGGAAAACGTTCAAAAATTATTTGATCAATAAATATCAACAACATATGTTTTTAAATTGCTTTCACTCTTTTTTTAATAGTTATGCAAGATTCAACTCATTTTTTCAGTCAGTTTAAAGTAAATTAAGTTGAAATGAATACTTTAAGGCAGCAACTTTTTTTAAGGTGTGGAACAACTTTCTGGGAAAGTCCTAATGATTGATGAGCATGTTCAACATGTAACGTTGAGAGAAAACGTTCTTAGAACAACATTCTCAGAAAGTCTTGTTTTCAGAATGTTTGTATAAAACTTTGTGAGAACAATTTTAATGAAACATCCTTACAGTGTTATTTGTCAAAGTCAAATTTTTTGTATAGCGCTTTTCACAATACACAATGTTTCAAAGCAGCTTTACAGAAAATCATAATGTTATAATGTTTATAATATCTTCATGCCATATAGTCGCATTTAGCATATTCCCAGCTGAGAGGAAGCGTTCTCAGAACTTTGGCTAACATTCTGGCAAGGTTCTCTCAAAGTTATGAACAAACTTTCTTCAACATTAATAGAACGTTTGTTCAAAGTTATCTGGTCTTCTCAAACATTCTCAAAACGTAAGCACAAAAACGTGATTTATATTACGTTCATGCAACGTATTTTTTGTAATGTTTTAGTTGGACGTTCCACTAACACTTTTTAAACATTACTACTTGTTTGATCATTAAAGAGAATTGAAGAGAAGAGAACATGAAGTCACAAGACACATGCATAAGGAACAAACAATGAATGCAAGTAGTACAGTAGGCCTATGAAATACAGGCAAGCCATTATAATACACTGACTTCACTGAACCTAATGCATTACATTAAGCAATCAGGACTTCAAACTTCCCCTTCTGTAAAAGCATTTCATCTGATTCTGAACTAAATTCTCTCATTGTCATTCTAATACTCACAATTTCATTCCACACCATTTTTAAACCAAACATCCAGAGTCCAGACAACACCCAGACAGCCGTTACACTCATGGTCTCTCTTCAGCCTGAAAGCATTCAGCATTACAAAGCATTTAGTTTGAAACTCCATATGAAGCAGTTCATACAGAACACAATTTTGTGGTGTTTTCTTTTTTCTATTGTGTAGTTTTTCACATGTCTTGTTAGATTTGACTTGTGTTCTGTCTAGGTGTATGTTTGAGTTTGTGTTATTTTTTCCCCTTGTTTAACTTGGTGTTTTTTTTTTTTTTTTTTTTGGTGTTTTGTTTTGGAATACTTTATTTTCATTTTCGAGTTTACAAGAACAGACACAAACAAACAACCCCCCCCCCCCCCCCCCCTCCCCAAAAGGATGCTCCATAATTTTAAAGTAGGTATACAATGTTTCGAGGTCAGTCACATTCCAATATCACATTATCCACATAATCTAGATAGGGCTGCCAAATTTTAATAAAGGTGTTGTATCCCTTTCTAAGGTTATATGTTGATTTTTCTAAAGGCACACAGTTATTTATTTCTAAATACCATTTAGATAATAGATATGGATAGAGGGGAATCAGACTGGCATGTGACAGCAATACACTTTCTGGCCACTGCCACGGCTATTTCCAGAAAATTTATTTGAAATTGGTTTGGTTTATCAATTTTCATAAAGTTCCCCAGCAAGCAAAATTCTGGGTCAACAGGTAATGGAATTTGAGTAATCTTAGTCAAGACATCACAAAAGTCAATCCAGAAATCTCTCACCTTCACACACAACCAAGCACAGTGTAGGAAAGAGCCCACATCTGCAGCACATTGGAAACATGTATCAGATAGATCAGGCTTAAACTTGTGAATTTTCTCTGGAGTCAAATACAGCTGATGAAGGAAATTATAGTGAACAAGCCTGTGGGGTTTTTATGTTTAGAAAATGTAAGCGTTAAGATGTTTTGGACTGTGTACTTCACAGAGACTCTTACAGTTTAGTTATACAGTAAGATGTGAATCTTAAAGTCGTATCTGTTATTTTTGTAATTCCAATATTTAATACACTTAGAGACTTGTATACTCTGGAAAAATGTAAACATATGTATAAAATTATAAATGATGAAAAATGTTTGCTTTGTGTCAGAAATAACGTTTTGAGAAAAAAAACTTTCTTATTACATTAAAAACCTGAACGTTTAAAAAACATTCCGAAATAAAGTTTTCGTAACTTAATGGAAATGTTAGCAAAACACACAAATGGAATAGAAAATAAGGCCGAAACGTCATAGACATTAAGGATCCCCAATAATTAGAAATGACCAGATTGTCTCTGTTTGTTTACTAACACTTTAGTTTAGGGTCCAATTTTCACTATTAACTAGTTGCTTATTAGCATGCATATTACTAGGATTTTGGCTGTTTATAACGCACATATTAATGCCTTATTCTGCATGATCACATCCTTTAATCCTTCCCAATACTTAAACTTAACAACTACCTTCCTAACTATTGATTAGCAGTAATTAGGAGTTTATTGAGGCAAAAGTCATAGTTAATAGTTAGTTAATCTTGAGAACTGGACCCTAAACTAAAGTGTGACCGAAATGTTAAATGACCAACAACAGCGATGACCAGTGATGCAAACTTCTTTTTTTGTCAAACTTTTGTTTCGGCTGAATCATTTCACAGTGAGATTCACGTATTTCATAACTCAGTGTTATGAAATAACACTCAGTGTTATGAAAGTGGTGTGAGGAACATTTTTCTGTTTCGTGTTTCGACAGTCATACCGATAAGAGTGAATAACTGCATATTTAAAAAATATATATATTATTCTCAAATAGTTCAAATTGATTACTTTATAGAAATTCTTTTTCTTGTTCTTTTACTCTTTTTTTTCTTTTCTTTTTTGTTATTGCCTTAAATCCATTAAAATCCCTGTGGTGAAAATCAAGTTTTTAATGTTTATGTGTCTATGTGGTGTTTTTAATATGCTTTAAAACAAAACATGTGCAAATTCATAAGTAAACACCATTGCTGAGTATTTTCTCCTTAAAACTACAGTGAACCAAAGACAGTCTCAAAAACGCGGTTTGAAAGCGCTGGTGTTTCTGACATCACAAACTACCTTGTAACCAATTACGTCAACGTGTGATCGTCAACGAGTGGATCTCTGAGCTGGTGTGAGTGAGTGGAGGCGGGGCTAATTAGTATATTCATAGAACCGCGTATACTAAATGAGGCAAGGGTGTAGTTACATTCAAGCTTTTTTAAGGCCTGAAGTTGTTGTTGTTGTTGTTTTTTCAGGGAAAATGTTTTTAAATATGTAATTTTGGTGATCAAAGATGAGTTTTAAGGGATAAAATTTATTGACTACAGGGGGACTTTAATTTATTTTTTTTAAATAAAATTGGTCCCACCCCCAATATTCAAGAAATGGCCAGTGACATAATGATAAATGGAAAATTGATTGTAAGCCAAAATTTCTTATACATTTCCATTCGTTTGTTAGTGGAAACGTTAGACAACTCAAAATGTATGGCAAATTCCCATGGGCACTACAGAATATGTAGCCAGGGATATTTGTTTGTAGAAATTTGAGACTTCATAAATTATTCTTTGGCCTTTCCTGTCAAAATGTTGATTGTGTGTGAAATCTAGACAGTGGGATACTGTGTGTGTTCTTTTCATCATGATTTTTTTCATAATAAGATCATGTTTCTGATGAGAAAGCCATTATAAAGTCATGTCAAGGCATTGTGTATGTCAGCAGACTTACTGTCAATAGCACTTCCTGCATGTACAGAGGGAGTGTCAAGATCAAATTCGGCCAGGGATTTGCTAACTTTTTTTTCTTTTTTTTTGGCGGCACGTACTAATGAGATTACTGACCCGTCTCATATCTAGCCTTTAATAGAGTCTGCTTACATTTTTTTGACTGAGGTCCATTAATTAAAACCTGGCACACATCCGTCCTCTATCAGAAGTGTTTTCATTTCCAAAGCTGTGCATCAAAGATAAAAAGTGCATTTGGGGAAACATGTTTGTGTGTGAATGTGCCATTTTTGTTTTTATTTTGGCTTCAGACTTCTCCAGTATCTTGTTTATTGTCCTCACATAGAGTAAATGAATCTGATTTCTCTGACACTTTTTTTTTTTTTTTTTTTTTGTTCACAGGTTTACCGTATGGCTGGGATGAGGCGTACACTGCAGATGGAGTGAAGTACTACATAAAGTAAGTCATGAGTCCACTTCAATTATACAATTGCACACTTGCATACATTCTGAAATGAATTTCCTTTGTTTCTGCCCCCTTTCCCGAAAGCAAATAGCACTCATCTTTTGAAGGGTACTTCATA